ATACAATATGTCCGTTTTAGAGTGCAGATCTTCAGGACCCAGCAAGTTTATTCATGAAGTTTGTGTGCTTCATATATAAAACTACGAGAACACTGTGTACTTCCCGTTGTAAGCAGGGGCGGACTAACCATTTGGAAACTTGGGCACTGCCCGAGGGCCCGGGGTCAGTAGGGGGGCCCATGAGATGCACTTGCTACCTTTTTCATAGGCTTTTTTGAGTTTGGGCAAGGACACGGGCCCCATGATCCCCTATTGCCCGGGGGCTCTATGAGTTGTCAGTCCGCCCCTGGTTGTAAGTCATCGATTTATTCCTAGTGCAGCTTAAAAAAATCACGATGCATCTACTATGTTGGCTTTGGTAGAGACAGGAGGGAGTTTCTGGAACTTGAGGACATATAGCTACATCTTAATTCTTGTCGCCAACCCAGGTTTGGCCATTGTAGACATGGTCATGCTCATTGTTGCTTTATCACAGTTCTACTTGTTTTGAGAATAACCTTTTATATTCAAACTGATTTAGGCATACTAGCCTGTATAGTACTCTATGGTCTTTGTCTGGAAATGTATACACTTGTACTGGGACAAAAGAACAAAGTTGTACTCTTGGCCTTACTGTGGCTTTGTTATCATGGTACTGTTGTATATGTAGTCACTTGGATAAACTGCGTAAACATGCCGTGTGTGTGCGTGTGTGATGGTGCTGGACCAATAAAAGTGAACGTTGGTTCAGATGGATGTACCATAAAGTGATTTTTCCTTCTGAAGAAGACGATCCATGGTTGATAGTAGCTTAGGTGGACCCTTTTCTGGTCGTAGGCTGCTACCTCTCTGATAGCAACAAAGGAAGAGCTTGCCAGATTTTTTATAATAATAAATGTAATAATAAATAATGAACATGTTATATTTACCTGCTCTTTGTAATGGTTTTGCAGAGCTAATCCTCCTTTGATCCTCCTCTTCTTGGGTTCCCCGCCAGCACACCTGGCTCAGCCCCCCCCTCCACACTGCCAAGTGCCCCCATAACAAGTTGCTTGCAATGGCGGCACTTGTGCATGCTCACTCCTGAGCCGGCTCTGCAGGAACATTGACACACAGTCTCCTCAGCCCCACCCCCTCTCTCATCACTGGCTCTGATTAACAGCAGCAGGAGCTAATAGCTCCTGCTGCTGCCTCTCTGTCCTATGAGGGGAGAGAGAGCCGCTGCTCTTGTGCACGTTGCTGGATTGAGGTCAGGCTCAGGTAAATATGGGGCTGGGGGGAGTTGCATGCAGAAGGTGTGTTTTTTTTTTGTTTTTGTTTTTTTTGTTTTTTTTTCTAACTTTAACCTCCCTAGCGGTCTGATTATGTCAGTATTTCTGTGCTTTTTGCATGGAAATATGTTGTTTTTTATTGTAGGCCTGTAATTCTTAGGAATAACTCACTGAAATCTGTCCGACCAAGAGTCTAGTAAACATCCCGGGTATGATAAAATTTGAACCACAAAATCATAAATTCTAATATAATAAATAATCATCAAAATTAATAATAAATTTAATTCAATAATGTAATCAAACCAAAAACACTGAAATTTAAAATAGAGCGCCAAGTTCGCATATCGCTGAGCTCAGTCACAGAATCGTTTTCAGCGTCTGACGAATTTCCCCCACGAATCATCACTCAATTCTGCAAGTGGTTCTGGTTTACTATCGCTGTTCTCTAGCTGGTCTAAAACCGCTTTTGACCTAAAGGGATGCTTTTTGGACGCCATGGACATTTCTCAGTTTCCAGGCAGAAAGAACAGTAAAAATGCAGGCAGGGCACAGGACAAAGCACTAGGGACAAAATGTATGTGAAATGGTCTGATACAGGAATGTTTTACTATCAGAAATATTTAGTATTGTGTGTCACATTTTTAAATTTTTGAATTTCCCACCAGTTCCGACCCCCGTACGTCCCGACACTCGCAGGAAACGGAACCCGGAAGACAGATGGTGGCATCAGCCGGAGGAGATGGCCGGAGACGCTGCAGGGGGGACATTGCGGGAGCGCAGGGCAAGGTAAGTGCTGGAGGGAATGCCTGAGCAACGCTGCAGGGTATTCCGGAGTGTAGCTCGGGGTTACCGCTTCTGGTACTGAAAGTTAACCCCGAGCTACACTCGGGAATACCACCAGGAGGTTAATGCATTGAATGCTTTAAGGTAAAAAAAAGCCCCTGCCTTTACAACCACTTTACCTTTTGTACCTGGTGCTTCTCAGTATACATCTAACTTGGAGTTAAGAAAAAAAATCCATAAGGCAAATTTCTAACATGCAAATGTCTTTGCACCCACAAGTATCCAAAACAAAACCACACCAGAATGCTTGCACCACTCTTTATTGTCAGTTTTTTCAAGTGTGGACTTCTCATACACACCCAAAGCCTGGACATGGCTGAACAATGGCTACAGTTTGCAGCTTTTAGAGTCAGTTGTACTTAGTAAGGTTAATAGGGATTAGCTCATTAGTTGTAAGGCTACAAAAAAAAAAACTATTAAAGTGAACCTGTTTTTTTGCATCATACTGAGCAAATTCATGTTACAGAAAGAACATGTACTTTCCTTCCGATGCTCTCCCACTCCAATCCACCCACTTGAAATTTCTAGGTAAGGGAGAGTGAGACATTCTCTCTGCCTTCCTGCAATGCAGTGCCCAGTACTTCAGGAGACAATTGCTTGTCATGTGAAGGAGGCAGGGGCGGACTGACAACTCATGGGGCCCCCGGGCAATAGGGGATCATGGGGCCCCTATGTCCTTGTCCACACTCAAAAAAAGCCTAGAAAAAGGTACCAGGGGCATTTCATGGGGCCCCCTACTGACCCCGGGCCCTCGGGCAGTGCCTGAGTGCTTGAATGGTCAGTCCGCCCCCGGAAGGAGGGCAGAGCCATTGCTTAGGAAGTCAAATATTAGGTGGCACGTGAGTGCAGGGAAGAGAAGTACACACTAATTTAAAGTGTATCCAAACCCAAGAACATAAATGTTATATATTGCAGCTTAGTAGTCCTTAGATGTGGTGGCTGCATTAGTTTTCCTTTCTTAGGCTTTTTCCCTTTTATTTTCCTGCAAGTAACACACTTCGTGTCCTAGGGTGACAACGCTCATTCACTGTACTCAATGTAGGACAGCGTTGTCACCCTAGGACAGGAAGTGTATTAAGACTGCAGAATGCCCTCCACGTGGCATAGGGGTGGATGATCTGTAGTTGACAGAGGTAACCTGGGCAGGAAAATAGCGTTGGTTTAAAGAGAAGAGTGTACTGGATTTCTGGCAAGTATTTTTTTCACTTCTTAAACAGGTATAAACAGACCAAAAAGGCAGCAAATAAGACAATCATATTGGTGTTTACATACCCTTAGCCCAGGTTCACACTGATGCTGTGCGGAATTCACAGCGGTTTCTGTGCAAATTCTGCACCGCATCAGAATCGCACCCTGTTCATGCGAACCGCTGCGGGTGTGGATGTTAAGTTAACAACACCCCGAAATCGGTCCACGAAACGCAGTGTGATGTGCAGTGTGATGTGCAGAATCGGATTGCATAGGTGTGAATACCCATGCAATCTGGTTCTGGTGCGGACCAAAAAAAGGGTACTGCACCTTTTTGGTGCGGATGTGGTGCGATTTGAGCCATACAAAATGTATGGCTCAAATCGCACTGCACAGAATTTGCATGTGGTTTGTACAGGAATGCGGTGCGGATCCTGTGCGAATCACATGCGATATGCCGCACCGCACAAGTGTGAACCCGGGCTGAAGGCATGATTTACTAAAACTGGAGCAATCAGAAGCTGGTGCAGATGTGAATTGTAACCAATCAGCTTCTAACTTTAGCTTCAATTAAGCTTTGCCAATAAAACATGGAAGCTGATTGGTTTCTATAAAGAGCAGCACCTAATTTTGTACACCCCCTTAAAGTCCCTAGTGGGCTTTTCCCTTTGTCCAGTACGGGCCAAGTACAGATTCACTTTAAGTACATTCTCCTTGCACTGTAAGAATCTTAGTGGCAATAGGCAGAATATAATTATTTTAATTAATAATGGTATCGCATAAAGCTAAATTAACTTTTATAAGTATTAAGTGCAGTTAGTGTATGGGGTGTATTGAAAAAAAAATTTGCAGACCTGTAAAACTGCATGTGCATTTGTTTTGTGTGAATGGAGGTAAAATCAAATGTTAGGCTTTTTTTTCTTCAGGTCAAATGTTATTCATTCACAAAAAAAAAAAAAATTTTAAAAAAAATAGTGGCTTGGGAAAATACTGCATTATGGCCACTAGATGGCGTTGACAATGGTAGTAAACAAATATTTATTTCCTCAGCTCCTCCTAGTGGCCATAATGAGGTATTTTCCTAAATCACTGTATGCTGTATGAATGATTAATCTTGGAGGAGAAAAAAAAAGCCTACACCCGTTCAATTTAGCCAACATTTACATAAAACAAATATAGATGCAGTTTCAGAGGATAAATGGCTCTGCAAATTTGATATAAATACACCCCGATCTACTCTTGCAAATCGCTGACCAGAAAGAAGGGGTGGGGCTTCAGAAGCTATGCTGTAATTGATGCTCAGCAGATTCTTAGTCATCACATAAGACACAATATTAAAAAATATTTATTAAAACTGCAGCGTGCAAAATCTGGTGTAGCTCTGCATAGAAACCAATCGGCTTCCAGGTTTTATTGTCAAAGCTTAATTGAAGAAGCTGAAGTTAGAAGCTGATTGGCTGCAATGCAGAGCTGCACCAAATTCTGTGTGCTCCAGTTTTAGTAAATCAGCCCCAATGATAATAAACAGCTTGCCTATGCTACCTATAGCAGCCAATCAGATTGTAGCCGTCCTTTTTTTATGCTAGGTAGAATCTAGCGGACTACAGGCTTTACTTTCAGATACTTTTTATAGACAAGGCCTGCTGCGTGGTATCAGAATGATTTGTGGAGTTGCTTCAAGACGATGGTCTGGGTGTGGTGAGCCACAGAACGTGGTGGTTAGGCGTACATGGTGATGTATTTCGGCTCCATATTCCCAAAGTAGGTACGCTCCCACTCGCTCATTAGATCAAAGTGCAGGGGGCGGTGGCAGAAGTTGCACTCGGCAGCAGATGGTGATTTCAAGGGCATCCCGACTTCCTTCCATGTGTTTACCAGGCTCTCTGTGAAATGGAAATCCAAGGATGCTATTAATGCTCTCCAGTCTGGATAAAGCCACCAAAAAAACATACAAAGGGGTCTGTTTATTAAACATTTGCACAGCCCCATCGAAATATTGCTGTATTTTGTCTAATATGATTTCCTGAGATTGTAAGTGCCATTCTGTGGCTACAATGCCCTATTTTCCTGAAATACACCAATCAGGATAATGCTGCATTATGGACACTAGATGGCTCTCATCATAGGAAATAATTATATTTATTTATTTATTACAGGTACTTATATAGCGCCATCAATTTACGCAGCACTTTATGTAAGGGCCCTAACTCACATTCATACATACACATACTAGGGCCAATTTAGACAAGAGCCAATTAACCTACCAGCATGTCTTTGGAGTGTGGAAGGAAACCGGAGAACCCAGAGGAAACCCACGCAGGCACAGGGAGAACATGCAAACTCCAGGCAAGTGGTGCCGTGGTTGGGATTACTGCCAGGCGGAAGTGCTAACCACTTAACCACTGTGCTGCCCCATTATATTAGCCAAAACATGACAACATTAAGCTGATGTTTATCGTATTCATACAGTGTGGGTTTTTTAATAAATAGATTCCATAATGTAGATCATCCTTTCTCAACTGGGGCGTTCAGGGGTGCCGTGGTGTCCTGGTAGAGAAAGGCTGTCAGTTGAGCCCAAGCTCCTGATCCCCAGCTGCCCTGGGATTGGTCAGACTGCTAGGCAAAGGGAAGGGGAGTGTCTTCTGTGCTCTCTGCCTCCCCCTAGAGTGCAGTACCCAGCTGTGTGAGGGAAGATAATGTACTGCAACTTTTTATAGGGCTGTACACGTGTTCGTATGTGTGTACATGTGGTTGTATGTGTGTATTTTTATATGTGTGTATGTATGTTCCTTTTAATCTTGATCCCCTATTCCTGCCCTTTCAGAACTGCTTATTTAGGATTTTTCGTAATAGGACTGCTGCTCCTCTGAAAAGCAATCCATGCTCAGATTGCATTTCAGAGGCATTTGACTCCACCTGTTTTAACCCCGTAAATGCAGCATCACCCAACCACATGCAATGCGCACATAGTTACGAGGTGGTTGTAGTCGGGGCGGACTGAAAACTCATGGGGCCCCCGGGCAAAGGGGGATCATGGGGCACCTGTGTCTTTGCCCAAACTCAAAAAAGCCTATGAAAAAGGTACAAGGGGCATCTCATGGGGCCCCTTCTGACCCCGGGCCCTTGGGCAGTGCCCGAGTTTCCAAATGGTCAGTCCGCCCCTGGTTGTAGTGCAACCCCATTCACCTGTAGGTATACTTCCAGCTGCGGGCACAGCATGTGTATACCCCCAGCAGCGCTGCCTCTGCAGCTAAAGGGGGATCAGGTTAGGGTTGTAAAAGCAGCTCAACTCTGTGGTTTTACTGCCCTCCAACCTCACAGGTGAACAAGCCCTTAGTTCACATCTGTGTGGCTGTGTGTAGGGCAGCCCATTCATTTCAGTGGGCTGCGCTACCCACAGAAATGCAGGGAAAGTCATCCTTGACCCTTTTTTTTTTTTTTTTCTAAATTGCACCACACCAAAAACACCCCGTGTTTGCCAATGTATGGGCACTATAAAGAGTTAATGGTACTCCCAGGGGTGGACTGACCATTTGGAAACTCGGGCGCTGCCCGAGGGCTCGGGGTCAGTAGGGGGCCCCATGAGATGCCCCTGGTACCTTTTTCATAGGCCTTTTTGAGTTTGGGCAAGGACACAGGGGCCCCATGATCCCCTATTGCCCGGGGGCCCCATGAGATGCCCCTGGTACCTTTTTCATAGGCTTTTTTGAGTTTGGGCAAGGACACAGGGGCCCCATGATCCCCTATTGCCCGGGGGCCCCATGAGTTGTCAGTCCGCCCCTGGGTACTCCTAAAGAGCAGAGCATTTGCCTGCGTGTCAGGAATGAGCACGATTTTGTGTGCGTTGCGCAGCCCACAGTAATGTGAACCAAGCCTTGAACAGGGGTGCCTCGAGACTGAAAATGCTTTGCAAGGGCGTCTAGACTGGAAAGAGAAACACTGATGTAGATTATAAGTACATTTTGGGTTTTATTGCCGAGAACTCCAGCTTGACCTGGACACTGAAAAGAAATCAGTGAGGGAACGTTTGTAAGGCCCAGAACATATGGCCAGCCTGTGACCATAGCTTGTAAAGCCTAAGGGTCCATCCAGACCCATCCATTGACAATATACTATTATGACCAATATTCGATGCATTATGGATGTAACCTTTTATAGAATATTCCTTACCTACGAAGTAGCTCATCATGGCAGGGGTATGGTGAGGGGAGGGAGCCAGCCTCAGCAATTCTTCTCCACGGGGAACGGTTGGGTAGTTGATGGCTTGGACGTAGATGTTGTTCTCAGACAGAAGCATGTCACAGATTCTGGTGTTCACAGCGGCATTCCCAACCTGTCATACAGGACAGAGTAAGAGTAGTGGAAACAATGTCCTATCATTCTATATTCCTTTAGAACCATTCTGTCCAAAAATCTGGACTTTACTCTAAAGGCAACCATACACCAACACGAGTGATCACCCAGCATGGGTTCTTCTGTATAACTGCACCTTGTGAGCTGCTATGAATCACAAAAGTGCCTGCAAACAATATTTTATCCTTTAAAGGATAAGTTCACCTTTTGTAACATGTTGTATGTTACACCCACATGTTACGATCGGACTGCCCCCCAATCCCATTTGTGACAGCTAGCGGGGGATCTTCTCCTCCCCATTAGCTGTCACAGTTTTTAAAAACGTGGCCGTGCGAGGCTCCACCCATCCAGCTGTGTCATTCATTCACAGTATTTTGTGAATGGGAAAACTACAAGTTCCGACAGAGTTTGCGGCTGTTGGCTTGTAGTTCTCAGTGAACTACCACGGTGCTGTGGCAGTTCATTGAGCCTTCTGTTCAGTAAGTATCTGCTTGCCTGTGCGGGATGTACGAACAAGCAGATACAGTGACAGGGCAGAGGGATCGCTGGTGCAATGCTTTAGACGCAGGGGTGTCAAACTGGCTGCCCTCCAGCTGTTGTGAAACTACAAGTCCCTTCATGCCTCTGCCTTTGGGAGTCATGTTTGTAACTGCCAATCTTACAATGCCTCATGGGACTTGTAGTTTGGCAACAGCTGGAGGGCTGCCAGTTTGACACCCGTGCTTTAGAGGCTCCAGAAACAAAAATTAATAAATGCTAATTTTTTTTACCTGAAAAAAAAAAAGTACATTTATTATTTTTTGTTAAAAGGTGAACCTATCTTTCAATGCAAACAACCATGTACTCCCAATTCACAATAAGTAATAAGTAGTTCCCACCAATACACACTCTCATAAATATGTGCAACTTAATATACCCGTATTACAGTGTAGCACTTACATTACTTTCATACATATTACTATATGAATTCTTTTTTTTTTCCCTCAAGTATTACACCAAAACCTTTTCTTATATATAACCAAATCATAAAAATGTACATATTATACAGGATTTATATAGCGCCAACAGTTTACGCAGCACTTTACAACATAAGGGCAGACATTACAATTATTATTATTATTAAAAACAGGATTTATATAGTGCCAACAGTTTACGCAGCACATAAGGGCAGACATTACAATACAAATTAATACAGGAGGATTCAGGGGGCCCTGTTTGTTAGAGCTTACAATCTAAGAGGGATAAAAAAGGTAATAACTGTGGTGGATGAGTTGATGGACAAAATACATGTACAGATATTAGGTTGGGGCGGGATAGGCCTCTCTGAACAGATGAGGTTTCGGGGATCGTCGAAAAGTGGACAGAGATGGAGATAGTTGGACACATTGGGGAAGGGTGTTCCAGAGGATGGGAGAAATCCTGGGAGGAGGTGACAAGGGAACTACAGAGCAGGAGGTCTTGGGAGGAACAAAGAGAATGATTTGGTTAGTATTTTGAGACCAGGTTAGTGATGTGACTAGGAGCTGAGTTGTGGATGGCTTTATAAGTTGTGAGTATCTTGAAGTTTATTCGTTGGGTGAACGGGAGCCAGTGGAGGGACTGGCAAAAAGGGGTGGCAGACACTGAATGGGTGGTAAGGTGGATGAGTCTGGCAGTAGCATTCATGATGGACTGGAGGGGGGATAGCGTATGCAAAGATAAGTCAGTGAGGAGGGAGTTGCATAGTCAAGGTGGGAGATGACCATGGAGTGAGTTAGAAGCTTCTTGGTGTCATTGGTTAGGAAGGGGCGTATCTTGAAGATGTTAAGGTGGCAAGCTTTGAACAGTGATTGGATGTGGGGCCGAAAGGATATTTCAGAGTCCAGGATTACACCTAGCACCCAGGCATGTGGGGATGGGTAGATGGTTGAGTCGTTGATTTTGACAGAGAAGTCAGTGGAAGGGGCAAGTAGGGGAGGAAATATTATGAGCTCAGTTTTGAATAGATTTTTTTCAGGAAGGTCTGTGACATCCAGGCTGTTTAAAAAAATAAATAAAAAGTCTCTCAAAAAATGTTATTGAGTTTCTTTGACTACACTCTGATAGTGCTTGACACCTCTTTACAGGTCTGTATATCACCACCACCAGTTGTGCCCTCACCTGGGATCCATGACCTTACATAATATAAGGCTTGCGTCCCCTTTAACTGGACTGTTAATGCACTCTGTGGCTCCACTGGTGATCCTTCCTGAGGTCAACACCTAACACCAGCCTATGAGGTGTTGACACCAGAAAGGACCACCAATGAGTGCATTAAAGGGGAAGCAAGCCTTATATGACCCTACGTTTTATGTAAGGTCACAGAGCCCAGGTGAGGGCACAACTGGTGGGGGTAATACACAGAAGCGTCAAGAGGTGTTGAGCACTATCTGGGTGTATTCAAAGAAGCACAATAGGAGTTTTTGAGAGACTTTATACTTGTATATTATGTTCATTGTTTTATGATTTTGTTTATATATAAAAAGGTCTGGGTGTAATTCTTGAGGAAAAACAGGACACTTCTGATACATATGGGTTTCTCTGGCTACTCTTGTCTGTGTGCAACCTCAGTTGAGAGCACACCAGTGTGAAGTTTATTAGACTAGCCAACTGGGCAACTTTAATTTTTACCATAAAGCTAGCCATACCCCAGTAGAATTTCGTTCATATGGAAATTCTGAAAAATTGTTCATCAGAGCATTCCACCTTGCCATCATGGAGTCAACAAACATTGTTTGTAAGCCCTCAAAATTTCATGCAGGCCTACTACTTGAGTGGACTCCCAGACGTGGTAAATAGTTTTTGTATCTAGCACATTACAATGTGTACAATTGTTCCCGAAATAAAGCGACATTCACAGTTAAAATTTGAGTTCAGAAAAAAATTTCCATCCCGTTCCTTCAAATGTACTCGTCCCTTAGGCCAAAGTTTATCATCAATTGACACCATAGCAAATCAAATGAACATTCTGAAAACAAAAACCTTTGAATGACGTTCTACTAGGGTATGGCCAGATGTAGACTAGGGTGGGGAATTTAAATGTCTGTTGGTGAGCACTGATTAACAGGAACAGACGTACAAAGGAGCACGTGGGGAAGATATGAGAAAAAGATTAGCACCTTGCAGGCCATGTGCATGACCGTTGATAAAATCCGCCTACTATGGCTCCAGTGGATGGTTTTATCTCTCGAAAGACAACTTGTACAGCTGTAGGATTGGCACTTCTCCCATGATCATCAAAATACAAATTTATATCCTTTCAAGTGGTGGTTATTTTTGCTGTTCTGTTGGGTTTTTGTGATTTCAACATGTACAATCCTGTTGTGTTTAAGATTATTTTACTCTATACAAGTTCTGCTGACAATTTTCCACCCTGCGCTTTAACAAACGCCGATTGAAAAATCAACAGAAATTGGTCAAAATTCAAGCCATGTAAGGCCAGCTTTAGGCATTAGTGGGAGGTTAAAGAGACGGTGCCACCTTGCCCATGAAGTACAAAGGGACTGTTTCTGGGACAAAGGGCATTACCATACCCATCACCATACACCATACCCCTGTATGCTGCTCCTTCCTTGGTAAGGAGACAGTGTCTCTTAACTGCTTAAAGACAGCTCACATTATATGTACTGCGGACGGGCGGGCCCTTTGCACTGGATCACATACATGTACGTGATCCAGCATTTCCAGGTAGATACAGTGACCGTGTATGGTATTAGCACTGATCACTGTATTAGTGTCACTATTGATGTCAGTGTCCCTCCCAACTAGCGCCAGATTGTCCTACACAGTCACACTATAAGTCGCTGATCACTGCCATTACTAGTACAGCATCGTAGCTGCATCAATTCCAGTATACCATCATTTCTAGACACTATAACTTTTGCACAAACTAATAAATATACACTTATTGGGATTTTCTTTTACCAAAAACATATAGCAGAATACATTTTGGTCTAAATTTATGAAATTTGATTTTTTATTGCATATGTTTTATACCAGAAAGTAGAAAATATATATTTTTTTTTTTCCCTAAATTCTTGGACTTTTTATATTTATATAATAAAAAAACCAAGTGGTGAGTAAATACCACCAAAAGAAAGCTCTATTTGTGTGAAAAAAATGATATATGATATAAATTTAATTTGGGTACAGTGTTGCATGACAGTGCAATTGCCAGTCAAAGTAGCGCAGTGCCGAATAGCAAAAAATGCCCTCTGCCATGAAGGGGATAAAACCTTCTGGAGCTTAAGTTGTTAAAATATAACTAAAGCCAAAACTTTTTTTTCAGTTTTGGATATAGTGGAGATGGATTAGAACCCCTGTCAGTTTTTATTGCTGTCTGTGCCCCCGTTAGGGAGATTTATCCTCTCTGTTTGTCCTGTTTACCATTATTATTGAAAAGGAAAGTAAAAGAAAATCCCAAATTTTGGGTTGTCCCCAAAAACGTAATAGAGGGGAAATCTTCCAATGGGGACTAAGTGTGGTGACCTGGGGGACTCCAAGGGATTCCCCTAATTTTGCAGGGATTTCCTTTAACCTCCTGTTTTGGCTATTGGACAGGAAATGAAGATATATCTCCCCAATGGGACACAGATGGCAAAAAACTCACAGGGGTCATAACCCTCCCTTACTCTATCCAAAATGGAAAAAAAAAAAAGGTTTGCCTAGTTGTGACCCCTATATGTTGCCTCTCTCCCTTTGGATAGATTTCCTTTTGAGAGACACCAAGAAGTAAGAGAAGATCTTTCCAAAGTGAGGGGAAATTCCCTTTTAGATAGTAATTACCAGAACAGATGTCCCCATTGGAAGAGTCTGTCTCACCTCCAATCCCTGTATCAACTAAAAAATATTTTAGGATTTCTCATCGTATTTAGTACTAAGGACAGTGGTCACCGGGACCATTTGAGAAGGTAAGGTAGACTTCTGGAGCGTCTTCACTTTTGTTGAGTCTCATGCCCATGTGCAAAAGTTCTAATGATATTTTGAGGAACCCAGCTCTCAAGAACAGGAGCTGACAGCCCAATATATAAAGCCAAGTTCATTATTTCTGCCTACATTGATATGTAACTTATAGTTGCCCTGAACAAAGGCACACACAAGCATTCTAAGCAGTGATATCAACTCACCCGTATGGGGATGATGTGGCTCGGGCAGTTGATGACAGGCAGTCCAGCGTCCATTAGAAGTTGGCGCATGTGCTTGACATTTCGCTGGTGGGCACGTCTGAGAGCTTGCCCCTCTTCACTCTTTAAGACACGTACAGACTCCAAAGCTCCGGCCAGCACCATGGGAGGGAGGGAGGTAGTGAAAATGAATCCGGCAGCATAAGAACGCACTGTGTCTATGAGTGCAGCGCTGCTTGCTACATAGCCGCCAACACAGCCAAAGGCCTTCCCTGAAAGAGTAAAGGATGGAGAATTAAAAATGATGGTTTCAAGTGAATAAATAGAATCCTGCTCCCATAATAGATCCTGCTCCCATAATAGAATCCTGCTCCCATAAAGTATATGAACTTTGATTCCTTTTCCCTGCATAAAGTAACATTTAAGGGTCACCTACAGATCGTGGCAATAAAACTTGAAGCCCCACTCCACTTCCCAAGCACACAAAACATGTGGTCTATTTATAAAACATTTGCTCAAGCATTCACACAGCCATCACTTGCAGTATTACATTACATTACATTGAGTTTATATAGCGCCAGAGGGTTTGCTCAGCGCTGTACAATAGAGGGGGGGACAATACATGAAACAGAACAGCAACAACAAACAGCACACGAGGGGTTAGAGGGCCCTACTCTTTCGAGCTTACAATCTAGGAGTATAATCACTGTCATGCACTGTGCTCCATCTATTGACCATAGTGGGGTATTTAACTGAAATTCATCAGTCAGGAAAATACTGCATTATGTCCACTAGATGGAGCTGCTAATTATAGGAAATAGACATATTTGATGAATGTGTTTTAAGTGGATAGCTGGAATCCTCTACCCTATATGTTTTTAAGCCTTTATTCCTTTTCCCTATTATGAAGTAACTTTTAGACTAGGTTTAGATGTGCATCTAAACCCGAAGCTTCCCTGAGAAATGATCTGCTGTCAGAATGCTTTTCAGAGGAGAACGACAGGTGAAGTGACATGACACCGCTTGTTTTAACCCTTTTTTTGCAGAACAACTGTATGCATCACATGATATGCGATATGTAGAAAGCGAAGCATTGTGACCGCACCATGTAAACACTCCTGTTCACTACCATTGCAGCTTAAGAGGTGGCAGTTGGGGTGCACTTAAAATGTAGATCAATGTACATTTTTAATGCCCCCCACAAAAAGGCCTAAAAATGCACCTGTGCTCAGACTATGGGCACAGTCATTTTAGTCCTCATGCACATCGGTGTCTGGGGCCATACAATGTAAAATTCAGGAGTGTTTCCCTTCCCAGGAGCCAAAGGTGCTGCATATAGCTGGCCATAGAAATCAGTGGCTGTACACAATTATAGTCTGGTACTTTCAATAACACACACATGCATATGGAGGTATGACCTGAACGATCATGGTAGCTCTTGTGCTGACCGGTGCTTTCAACATCTCAATGCAAACACGGGATCAGAGTTTGTTCATGTTCCCCAGCAGAAGAAGCTGTCTATGCAATGAGAAAATCCAACGTAGTGTAAAACTTTATATTTCCAGACAGAAGCAAGAAAGTCCAGCCTAGGACCTCTCTGTCTGCTTTGTTTCATGGGGTTGTAGGCTATCCTGTGCTTTTGTCTGGAACAAATACATTTTCTACCACCCTGGATTTTCTCGATGTTCATCCGGCTTCTTTTGTGGTCATGTAGCAAATCAAGCCAGACTGAAGACAGAACTCCTGATCTGTATGTTTGTTCCGGGCCAGTGGTCAAAGATCTGATGACTAGGGATGAACTCAGGCATGTTAGGATCCTAGTCTGAACCCACCTGATCGAGTCCACCAGGAAAGTTGACACTTGTACTGGGCATTCCCCACTTGGCAGCCAAACATATACAAGGGACGTGGAATGCTTTGGATGCTTATAATTGGCTCTTTACAGTAAAGGCTTCCTGGCGGGATTGCTCAAGTGGGACTAGGATCTGAACAAGCCTGAGCTCATCTCTACTGAATAGTGATAGCCAGGCTGCTAGCATTTGTTGAATGAGCAGATAGCAATGGCAGCCTCCAGGGTTTTCTAAGTACAGTTTTCCTGTAAAAAGTTTAACATAAGACCGTGCAGGACTATAAAGAGTAGTAAATGTGTTCACTTCAACTGGCCTTTAAGTTTTCTTTATAGCTAGTAAATGTTAGGCATAGTATACGGTGGCCAGGGTTGAGCACAGTTGATTTGGATCCTGCTTGTTTGAACACACCCAGTCTGCACTGACAACTCCGATAAGGCCCTGAATGCAGATATCTGCCACACCCAGACACCGTGGTGCATGGCATCCAATACACGTCAGTGCAAATTTGTTGGTTATGTCTCAGCAAAGAGCCCTCTTTAATTGGAGTCATCAATAATGTAATTAAAACAATGTATTAGTGTCACTGTGGAAACTAACTTCCACTGACATCACCAAAGTGTCAGTTAGTGTCAGATTGTCTTCCACACTATCACAGTCCACTATAAATTGCTGATCACGGCCATTACTAGTATAAAAAAAAAATAGATTAACCATCGCTTGTAGACGCTATAACTTTCACGCACACAAATCAATTTTACACTTATTGGGATTTTTTTTTTTACCAAAGACATAGCAGAATACATTTTGGCATAAATTTATGAAGAAATTTAGATTTTTAACATTTTTTTTATTGGATATTTTTTATAGCAGAAAGTTAAAATTATTTTTTTTCAAAATGTTCTGTCTTTTTTCATTTGTATAATAACAAATTAAAAGCCCAGCGGTGATCAAATACCACCAAAAGAAAGCTCTATTTGTGTGAAAAAATTATATAAATTTAATTTGAGTACAGTGTTGCATGACTGCATAATTACTAATTAAAGTAGTGCAGTGCCAAATAGCAAAAGATGGCCAGGTCATGAAGGGGGTAAAACCTTCTGGAGCCGAAATGTAAGTAAATAAATGTGTCGAGAAATATATGCAGGCTGCCACTGAAGATTTCCTTCTTATAGCAGTATTAAAATCCTATATTTTTTTTTTTTAGGGTCCCCCAGGTGAGTTATACCATAATGTGCTAGTATGCAGCAGATATTAGCACATTATGGCAGACCTAAATGCCAAAAAAGCCCTCTAGCGCCATGCTGTCCCCAATCTGGCTGGTCACCAGTGCTTCGATCTTGGCCTAATCTTCCTTCCAGGTTCCTTTTGCTCGGCCGTGATGATGTCTTTCCTACGCCCATGTACATAGGTCACATCACTGGGGCACAGATCAGGTGCCATACATGTACGCACAGCTTAGTGTACATGTCAGCAGACAGGCAGGAGGATGTTTTCTAACAGAAGAGATGGATAGGCGTTTTTAAAAAGTAGGTTTAATACCACTTTAAAATCCTGGTTTCATGGCTGTTTTGACAAGACATCCAGATTACTAGTACACTGCTCATCCTGTTCCTCCTTGCACAAAGGAGCAGATACCGGTCCTGCTGATGGGTTAAGGACCTTCTATGGACCTGTCCAGCTCTCCTAGAGGAACTGCCTGTCTCCTGGAATCTCCTCCATGCTCTTGAGACTGTGCTGGGAGACACAGCAAACCTTCTGACAATGGCACGTATTGATGTGCCATCCTGGAGGAGTTGGACTGCCTGTGCAACCTCTGTAGGGTCCAGGTATCGACTCATCCTACCAGTAGTGACACTGACCCTAGCCAAATGCAAAACTTGTGAAAAACCATCAGAAAAGATGAGTAGGGAAAAAATGTCAGTGACCTCTACCTGTAAAACCATTCCTGTTTTTATGGGTCATCTCATTGTTGCCCATCTAGTGTTCCTGTTGTTAATTTCATTAACATCAAAGCAGCTGAAACTGATTAACAACCCCCTCTGCTACTTAACTAACCAGATCAATATCCCAGGAGCTTAATTTACTTGATGCTACACTCTGATTAAAAAAGTGTTCCTTTAATTTTTTTGAGCAGTGTATTTTTAGATGGATGGTTTAGCACTGGCAGCCTCAATATATACAAGTTCTTTTTCGCAAAGGCGGCAGTCTCCACCACCTTCAGAAAAGTGATAGGTGATGGATCACTTTTGAGAGGGCAGTAGAGCAGCGGCTGCCAGGCATTATTAGGTGATCCTGCCTCCACCAGAATGCCTTTTTGGGGGGCTTTTGTTATAAGGTCCAAGGCGGGGACTTTATTGAAATAGCACACTCTAACTGCCAGCCTAGCCAAGCTGGACCACAGTAACTGTGCAAGAAAAACTAAACACATACAGCAGTATTGATTTACCCAGTGTTCCAGAGATAATGTCCATCTTATGCATGACTCCATCTCTTTCTCCGACACCCGCACCACGAGCCCCATACAGACCCACTGCATGCACCTCATCCACAAATGTCATAGCTCCGTACTTGTGTGCCACATCACACATCTCTTCCAGAGGGCAGATGGCACCTGTATATAAAGACAGAATAACATAAGTGAGACTGTGGAGATGGTCTAAACTAAATATATTTAGATACAGTATATGAATGGCTAATGGTAGAAAAGCATCCATTGTTATAATAGTAAGAAAAATACTGAGGTGGCTAACCTTGCAGCAGTTTTAGGCCTCATGCACATGGGCGTAGAAATTTACACAGGATCTTGCAGGCCGAAAGTTCTGCATGAAAAGTGGTCCATAGCACATCTCCACACATATATTCATATAGTTGTATAATTGAGACTGACTGAAAACTGAGGTCATTTTGCACCTTCACTGCTACATCATCCACCAGGTAGTGACAACAGTGCATAACGACCTCAGCCTTCTGTCATTCTGCACCTGCACCACTGCCTACACATTGCTTATCCCCTTGCTGCCATTCAGTGGCCCTTTTAAGAGGGTGTTATCGCTGGAAAGCAGGCTTCCCAATCATGTGATGACTGTGTTTGGCTGTCATAGCAGTCACCTGATCAGAAGCTCCCTATCATATACATTACTGAAGCTACTGGAGTGAGCCTGCTCTCAGCACAGAAGAACGATTCCTAATGGATGCATATGTGTGCTGGCTCGGCGTTAAGGCCCACCAGGGCTGCCGCCACATATATGTGAAGAGCCAGCAGGACCCGGTTAATTCTTCATCTCTGCCCCTGGCCTTGAGTCCATTAAGCAGTTGCACATTTGACCATGTCCATTTGCATGTAGAGGTTTGTACAAATGCACCACATAATATATAGTCAAAATTAGAACAGAGACCAAAACAAAGCTCAGTGAATTGGTTCATAGTATACTGCTGCGTTCTGATCTGTATGAAGTACAGATCTAAAGGCAGAAATGTAATCAGCCATGTAGTTCTTGCCTATGGCTGCCTAAAGGCATTAGAAGGTGGCTGGCTGTGTACCAACCAATTGTTCACTGAACAACCTTTTATAATAAAAGATCTCTCTATAAACATGAACTTTCATGTTTGTTCCTATGGGGGAAGGAGGAGCACATCACAGAAGAGGTGATCACCTAAGAAAATCCATCTTGATCTATCGCCTTTACCCCCAGAAGAATCCTAACCTAGAGTATTGGAGGGACCTACAAAAAAAAAACAACAATCCTCAATGTGACCATAAATGGGCTGTATTGGGCAAACAGTCTGTAATGTCTGTGGGTCCCCTGATCTGTTTTGCTCAGTGACTTATGACTTATCACCCAGTAGGCCTCCGTTGCTACAAATGAACAAAAAAAGAATAGGTTGTTGATAGAAGTGGGTCCATTGATGTTTTCCGTTTCATGAATGGACCTGTGAAAATGACTATAACTTCTCTAATGCTATAATAGTTTACATATCTGTGGAGACGTCCGTTATCCTAATAAGGGGACTTAGGACTTACCATCCATCGAGTGGACAGTCTCAAATGCAACAATCTTTGGTGTCTTTGGGTCTGACTCTTTGAGCAGTTCTTCAAGGTGGGCAGGGTCATTATGGCGGAAAACGTACTTAGCCACTCCACTGTTTCGGATGCCCTGGATCATAGAGGCATGGTTTCCAGCATCAGAGTAAATTTCACAACCTGCAAACAATTCCGACATTTTAAAAAGAATTAGAAAGTACCCCTACAGGATAGAAAGGTTATTGTATGTTCCTACTACAAAAACTGTTGGGATCTTCAAAACTCTCCAGTGCCTAAGAAGAGGTACTATGCAAACTATGGCCCACCAATGAGGGGTTAGGATGTTGCCCTCCTGTAATGGTACATTTTCTGGCTGGATCAAGTGATAATTACTATTACACCTACCTGGTAGCATCTTTGCCAATGTGAACAAAGTGGAGTCATTGGCGACAAAGCATGAAGAGAAGAGCAAAGCCGCATCCTTATTGTGCAGGTCTGCTAATTCACATTCCAGGTCCACGTGGAACTTGCTGGTGCCCGAAATGTTCCTGGTTCCACCTGCTCCAGCTCCGTGCTCATTGAGAGTCTCCCTGAAGGCAGAAATTGTGGTTTTGGATAATCTCATTGGCTGATTTGTAATGCAGAGGCAGTTCCTTACAATTATCATGGGAAAAACTGGTACAGTAAGCTACAAGAAAGAACTTGTTAAAGATATGTGCTGCCTCCTGGGAGATGTTACCTCTTGGGTAAAGGTCTGGCTCAGACCTGATACAGGAATTTTTTAGTTGAGCTCTAGTAGTGGCCAGGAGGGCCAAGAATGAGTGGAACTTAAGTACCCATAGAGCTGAAGAGCAAACTACAGGATCACACTAAATATTTGCCTGAAGCTTCAATTTCATGTTAAAGGTCTACTTGATTACGTCAGTACTCACGAAATTGCTTGCAGCACCTTAGGGTGCCTGCTCATGCCCAGGTAGTCATTGCTGCACCAAACGGACACTTCCTTCTTGCTGCCCTGGAGGTCAGAGAAATCTTCAGCAAATGGGTAGGCTTCAGCCCTGCGGTTCACAGTTTTGAACACCCGGTATGTGTAGTCCTGCTTCTTCTCCTCAATCCTCCGGTCAAAGAACTCATCGTAGCCAAAGGCAGCTCCACCTGACAGAACACAGTATGGTGTCAGGAATGCACATATAATCTACTTCATTGTAACCATGGTGGACAAGATGGATGGCTCATTGAAGCTGTGTAAATTAAATCAACTTTATTCCACAAGACAAAACACACCAATGATGCCCACCTGAAGAGTGCCTCTCCTTGGCGCATATCACCCTAATGGGCTTAGCTGTACGGCTAAGTCCATAAGGTTGAAACGTGTCACAGTAGGGTGATGTTCAAGCAGGCACCATCAACGTGTCTTGTGGAATAAAGTTGATTTGATTTAAGTGACCTTGTCCGTGTGTGGCCGCTCGTTCTTTCCAAAATATACACATTGCGTGGACAGGCTCATTTCTGGCCAGGCACCCTATCTTCAGGGGACAGAGGGAGTCTTTAGAGCTCAAAGTGGTGAAGCTTCTGTGTTTCTTCAGTTGCTGAATGTGTTTATTATTAGTTGCTCATAAAATTATATTGATGTGAATGATAATTAGGAAACACTTGTTTTACATTGTATATGTATTTATTAAAATAAACATGCAACCTGTTCATTCTGAATGTGCCTCTCCTTTAGCAAAATGCAGCACAATGTTTTGAAAAACTGGTACAATTTTTTTTATACATTTCTAGCAGAGCTGTTATATATTTCCTGCAAAATCATTGCATCATGCAAGTTAACATAAAATATTCATGTGGTCTTAACACTTTAAACACATTTGTTGTGTACCTGTCATGTTTTCTTTGATCAGATGAGTGGGGGTGAGAGGAGCCCCAGTTCCAAGGTTCACTTTTTTCACTGGAGTACCAAGGAACTTCTTCTTCAGGCTGGACTGGACTTCATACAGGAGAGAACTGAGGACATCTGGAAGCAGATGAGTCTCACTATTACCACCATAGGTAGTAAAGGATGATACAGCACTTGAAACCACTAAATTGATTCTTAGGGCAAGGCTAAAAGACCAGGATGAGGTTCATAGACTAGATAGGCTAGGATGAGGCTCGTAGACTAGGGTGAGTCTCAGACTAGGGTGAAGCTCGTAGACTAGATAGACTAGGGTGAGGCTCATAAACTAAGGTGAAGTTCGTAGACTTCATAGACAAGGATTAGGCTCGTAGACTAGATAGACTAGGATGAGGCTCCTAGGCTAGATAATATACATAAAGCTCAATGGTTCTGTTTAGCATGAAGAAGACCTGATTAGGGTATGTTGTGGATAGCTGTACAATCACCATGAGTATCTGATGAACCTGCGTGGTCTTTAATCATATTTTCAATATATGTGAATGCGACCTGCCTAATGTAAACCATCTTTTCAGTAAGTGATAATGGTTAAAAAATGATCCTGTTAAATAGTTTGTAACCATGTATATACACATTATAGTGCTTTATCTCCCCTCTAATTTCAAGGTTGATCAATAGATAAAATCAGACCCGCAATGATTCACAGAACACTGTATGTGGCTGTAACACTGTAATAAATCTTCTCTTGATGGGCAAAATATACCCAAATTAAATTATGTAATTGTAAGTCAAAATATGAAAGTCACATCAGAATTACTACAGATTTGCAATAACTCACACCGAGAACTCAAAAGTTGATCCAGAGTTGGTTTCTGTCCCAACCCAGTTCAGAGGAACTGCTGAAAGATATGACATAATTGCATTCCCACTGGCCCAATCAGCTGTGGCTGGGGCATTGCTGCACATACAGGGGCAGGGATGCTTGTGAGGCCATTGACCTAATATGGCAACATGACCATACTAGGTCCATGGCATTGAATAAATATAGAGCCGTTTGCCATATTTGGTAAATGAAAATCCCCACCCCTTTGTTTACGTGCGACTGCAGGGCGCGGATGCAATAATGCAACAGCTTTCCAAGGGTTCTGATGAAGTAGGTTCACCCTAAACCTACCTCTTCCCTAATCCAGAGGAAGGCAAAAAACACCTTTGTAAAGGATGGTTTAATTTGCTGCAACAGGGGAAATCTTTCATGATCCCCAATCAAATATACCCTGGGCCAACACTCTACAGCAGCCTTTCTCAACCAGGGTGCCTTGAGGCTTCTTCAGGGATGCCTTGATAAAATGTCAAAAAATTGCTAAAAATTTGTATACAAGCCAGCGGGTGGAACAAGCCTGCCTTTTAGTTACACAAAGCCACAGGTTTTCATTGTGTGCCGTTACCACCTTCTAGCCGCCGGCGTTCTGACAACCAGTGACGTCATCGGTTTATATGGAGGATGTTGGTCGTCTGCACAGCATCCTAGTTTGACCCTCCCCCGCCCTTCTCCATCAGTGCTGGGCTCACATTAGCTCAGTGATGGAGAAAAACTGAGGGAGAAGAGAAACGTTGGAATACTACTTAGTGTGCAAAAGTGTATTTGCTTTGGAAGAATAAATCACCTCTAATGTTGGTTGTGTTCATGTTGCTGCGTTATATAAAACTATTAGCATAGTTTTTCACATTTTACAATGCAGTGCCCTTTTAAAATTATGGACAGTCCAGAGGCACCCCATTTTAGAATGGGATGCCTCCAGACTGTCAATTTTAAAGGGTGCCTTGACTGAAAAGGTTGAGAAACACTGATCTACAGTGTTATTACTTATATTAATTGCCAGTTATATGCATAATTTACAAATTTGCCTTCTCAGTGGAAGTCTTTTTCCACATTTTAATAGTCCTTATGGTAAAGAAGCCTTTCTATATACAGAGGTTAAGTATCTTCTTTGTCTCTAATTTCAATCTTGAAGGCAGTTCCTGTAGTGATACAAAATAGAGTTTTCTTACAGTTTCCAAATTTTATTTATATATATATATATATATATATATATATATATATATATATATATATATATATTATTATTATTTTTTTTTTTAAATGTTATTTCTACCCAAATAAATAACCATGTATCCAGACAATTAAGGGTCTCTTGTGCATTTGGGCCCATAGCAGTCACATGGTCTTCTCCCCTGGGTACATTGGGCATGGGAAATGTAGGTGTTGCATGCAGATGCTTATTTTTGTACCTCGAAATGCAGAAGAGTTTTTTCTATTAATAGTGCATCTTTCACACGGGTCTATCAATCAGACCTAAGAGAGGGACAGTTGTGGAAGTAAGGTGGACACTTGGGTGCTATGGACAATACATACCAGTTTTGAAGGCTTTAAGATCCTCCTGCACTTCAGGCCCTGCTTTCTGGACAATAATACTCTCATCCTTCTCCATCTCTGTCTCAATAAAAAAAGGGCACTTGGCACTGGCGGTGGCAGCTTGTGGGGCTGCTTGAGCCAGGGTGCGTCGGTTGGAGGCTCCATAAGAGACTGAAAAAAAGTATATATTTACTCTATACTATATATGCTAAGAAATATTGTAGAATATACAGTACATCATCCGCTCATTCCAGGAAGCGGTAAGAATTTTTATTTTCAGCTTCACAACTGTAATTTTCAAATGTTCACTTTTTCAAAAAGAAGGATCCTTATCTTTTTGTATTAGCTTTGAGAGCTAAGCGGTATCTAGCCACAAACTTGTGTCCGTTTGATATTGCATCCAGAGCTTTTATTTCTCAAAGAATAGGTGAAGATTCTCCCCACTTCCAAGTCCCCCTTTGTCTCTGTCCCCTACCCACCTCTGAGCACTGTCCCTTGGTTTCACCCCCCCCTTCCCACCTCTTACTAACGCCCCTTTTAGTGAATACAGGATGAAGTATCATTTAGTGGTTATAAGTAATTTGTATGGAATTTGTTCATGGTAATGAGGAAAACCGCAAAATAGATCCCAAGCAGCTAGGAACAATATACCCTTCCCATCAACAATATATCCCCCCGCAACAAAATACTTCCCCAGCAACAATAGATTTCCCAGCAACAATAGACCCCTCCCTCAACAGTAGATCGCTAAAGCAACAATTGACCCCCAGCAACATAAGACCTCCCTTTTCTCAGTGACAATAGATCCCCCACCAGCAACAATAGATCCCCCATAGAAAAAATAGATCCCCCAGCAGCCAGCATCAACAGACCCTCCAGCATTACATACAGTGCTGGAGGTACTGGAACTACGTTCCCACATGTTCCTACTGGAAAAAAAGCCTTGATCACACCTATATGTGGGACATCCCAATACAAAATTATGGGCTTATTGTAAGACTTCGGAAGCCGTCTGGGGGAATTTGTGCCCAATTGTGAGGTCATGTATTAAAGACCTGACTCACAATTGGCGTCCTAATTCAACCCAAAGGTGTTCACTAGGGTTGAGGACACTCTAGTTCTTCCATACCAAACTGGTTGAACCATGTCTGTAGACGGGACAAAGTCATGTTAAAACAGAAAAGGGTGTTTTCCAACCTGTTGCCACAAAGTTGGAAGCCCGCAATTGTCTAAAAATATCTTTGTATTTTGTAAAATTAAAATTACCCTTCACTGGAAACATCTGAACTCAATCATTTGGAGGGACTCCACATACCTTTGACAGCATAGGTAGGTGTGATGGTCAGATTTCACACATTGTTTTGGACATATAGGGGCCTAGGTATAGAAGTTCACTGTGGAGATGTAGATTTAAATTACCCTTCACTGGAAACCTCTGAGCATATTCATTTGGAGGGGGTCCACATACTTTTAGCAACATTGTTAGAAGTGAGTGTCAGGTTCCACAAATTTTTTGGACATACAGGAGTTTAGGTATACAAATTAATTGTTGAGATGTCTTCAGCATTTGCACAGGCACAATGAATTATCACAGAATTGTTTGTAATATCTCCCATGGTCATCAGCTCCATCTAGTGACTATAATGTGGTATTTTTTTAATTGAGCTCTTTTAGAAAAATACTGCATTAAGGCCACTAGATGGAGCTGATGGCCATAGGAGATATTACAAACAACACAGTGATAATTTGTTGTGGTGAAGACATCTGCATGGAAATTTTTTTTTATAAATAGTGTATTCTTTGAAACTGACCATTTCTAAATTTTGGTCATGACTAGCATAAACAATTTGTACTTTCTTTCTTGTACCTTATCCTTTTTTGAAAAAATAGACCAGGATCCCTGCTCTTATGATGTGTCTCCCTGACCCTGAAGCAGCCAGCCCTCTCTACTTACAGTATATTGGTGACAGGGCTTCTTTATTAAAATAGCAATCAGTTATCAAAAGGACGTGTACCCACTTTATAGCATTATGACTTACTTCCAGTAGGCGGTGTGGAGTCTTTGGACCTCTGCTGGTTAGCTGCAGTAGTGGACAAGGCGCGTGACACCAAAATTGGACAACGCTCTGCACTGCGCAGGATCGCAGGTTTAGCCACCCGCAGGAAAACTGAGGGGTCCCGAGTGTAAAAGGGACAGAGTTTGATGAGAGAAGCCATGTTCAAAGATCAGGGTATCTGTAACAAATTAGACATGATGGGTAGGAGAAAGCTATTAATTGCAGCATTAGTTAATGCAGGCTGCTCATAATTAAAAAGTATGAAATTAGCAAAGTGTTGATTGGTGAGAAGGTCACTTTAGCATACACTATATTGCCAAAAGTATTGGTCGGCCTGCCTTTACACACACATGAAATTTAATGGCATCCCAATCTTAGTCCGTAGAGTTCAATTTTGAGTTGGACCGTCCTTTTCAGCTATAACAGCTTCAACTCTTCTGGGAATGCCGTCCGCAAGGTTTAGGAGGGTGTCTATGGGAAGGTTTGACCATTCTTCCAGAAGCACATTTGTGAGGTCATGCACTGATGTCGGAGGAGAAGGCCTGGTTCGCAGTCTCCGCTCTAATTCATCCCAAAGGTGTTCTATGGGGTTGAGGTCAGGATTCTGTGCAGGCTAGTCCAGTTCCTCCACCCCAAACTTACTCATCCATGTCTTTATGGACCTTGCTTTGTGCACTGGTGCGCAGTCATGTTGGTACAGGAAGGGGCCATCCCCAAACTGTTCCCACAAAGTTGGGAGCATGAAATTGTCCAAAATGTCCTGGTATGCTGACGCCTTAAGAGTTCCCTTCACTGGAACTAAGGGGCCAAGCCCAACCCCCTGAGAAACAACCCCACACCATAATCCCCTCCACCAAGCTTTACACTTGGCACAATGCAGTCAGGCAAGTACCGTTCTTCTGGCAACCGTCTGAGACATGTCCATTGGATTGCCAGACAGAGAAACGTGATTGGTCACTCCAGAGAACACATCTCCACTGCTCTAGAGCCCTGTGGCGGCGTGCTTTACACCACTGCATCGGACGTATTGCATTGCACTTGGTGATGTAAGGCTTAGATGCAGCTGCTCGGCCATGGAAACCCATTCCATGAAGCTCTCTACACACTGCTGTTGTGCTAATCTGAAGGCTACACCAAGTTTGGAGGTCTTTAGCTATTGACTCTGCACACAGTTGGCAACTTCTGCGCACTGTGCGCTTCAGCATGCGCTGACCCCGCTCTGTCATGTGACGTGGCCTACCACTTGGTGGCTGAGTTGCTGTTGTTCCCAGTTGCTTCCACTTTGTTATAATCCCACTAACAGTTGAGCGTGGAATATTTAGTAGCCAGGAAATGTCACAGATGGACTTTTTGCACTGGTGGCAACCTATCGCAGCACCACGCTTGGAGTCACTGAGCTCCTGAGAGCGACCCATTCTTTCACAAATGTTTGTAGAAGCAGTCTGCATGCCTAGGGGCTTGACTATATACACCTGTAGCCATGGAGGTGATTGGAACACCTGAATCACATGATTTGGAGAGCTGGCCCAATACTTTTGACAGTATAGTGTACTTACCAAAATGTATAGTCCCAGATTCTGGGACACTGTTAACCCCTTTCATGGTCAGCATTTCATCTGCACACTTTCTGGGTCTGAATGCCCCAATCACACTCACTTTTAGAGGTTGGTCCCACGTTGTTCCTCCCTTTAAAAATGTGGGGCCTTCCCACCACACCCACTTTATGGGTTGATCCTGTCTAGACCCCACCTTTAAACACAGTATGTAGGGACCCCGCCCACTCATTGCCCCAATCCCTGCAATGATTGCTTTTTTTAGTTACATGTGCAGCAGTAACTGAAATAAGGTTGAGGCTGCAATTCCAGGACATGGCCTGGACACAGAACCAGCTGAGCAGAGATGCAGCATTGTCCTGGAAAATCTGTACACATGCTTTCAAGTGGCATTAAACCCAAATCCAAAAATGTCATATATCACAGTTTACCAATCAGTCGATATGGTCGCTGCATTAGTTTTCTTTTTTCTCTGTTTTCATCTGGTGATCTGGCCAGTAACACACTTTGTTGCATTAGAGCACTTCCAATCTGGATGGAGGAGCATAGGAGGCACATTGGGACAGCAGCATTGTCATCCATGGGGGAGGGGAGTGTTAGATGATATAATATATATACTCTAGCAGATTTAGATACACTAACAAATGTAAGCCAAACTCCAGCTCATACTTTAGAAGCAGTTACCGGAAATAGTTTTCCCCTTTTTAGGATAAAGGTTTTACATAAATAAAAGCTGATCATTGTAAGTACCCCTGTCAGTGGTAAATGGTTTGTCTCATCCCTGTAACTGATACAGTCTGCAAGAGAACATGTTCTTTTGAAAAACACCAGACTTACTGGCTAGATCACCAGATGAAAATAGAAGAAAGAGAGCTTAAAAAAGAAAACTAACGCAGCCATCACATCTAAGAAGTGGCAAGCTGCATTATAATAAATGTTTGAGTTTATTACTGCTTTAATCACCTCTTCCTATAAGTTTCAGCAACTTTTGGAGAACAGGTTTTCATGGTGACATAGTCAACTGTTGCTCAGTGTGTAATAACTTTCCTTGTGTAACAGTTAAGTGATTTGTTGTAATCTCACTCATTGGGAAAACACAGTAGTTGAGGAAACATTGCTTGTGGTTACACATTATGGTCATGGACGTAGGGGAACGAATGAAGGGCTGCAGGAAGATCTGAGATACTTAAGAATATTGTACAATGCAGCCAGGGGCGGACTGACAACTCATGGGGCCCCCGGGCAATAGGGGATCATGGGGCCCCTGTGTCCTTGCCCAAACTCAAAAAAGCCTATGAAAAGGGTACCAGGGGCATCTCATGGGGCCCCCTACTGACCCCGGGCCCTCGGGCAGCGCCCGAGTTTCCAAATTGTCAGTCCACCCCTGAATGCAGCATAGACAGCAATTGTCTGCAGCAATCTACCAAAACCAATCATATTGAATTTTTATCAGTTTACTGCAAAAAAAAAAAACAATGAAAAATGATTTCCGATTGGTTCCTTTTGGCTTGCTACACCTTGCAAGCTTCCCTCTGCTTTATTAACAAGATTCCTCTATGGGTGTATTGCAGTAGGGACCGCAATGTACGAAAACGCACAAAACGTGGCCCAGTATGATTTAACCCTTTTGCTGCCAGTGCCGTTTTTGCACACAGGTTAAAAAAAAAAAAAAAAAAAAATTTTAGGCCTGAAGTTTTGTTAAAACCCCCAGATATATTTTCTGCAACCTGAGAAACTGGAGGATAAATAGCAGCAGCTCCAATTATTTGTCGTATAACAACGTTTATCAACTGCAGATTTTCAGTGAAAAATACACTAAAGTTAATAAGACACACAACTGCAATACATTACACATTTGGTACAATGTACTGTAAAAGATGAGGTCACCATGTCAATGTTCAAAGCTGTATTAAACCCAAAACCAATAATGTCATACAGTTGTGCTCAAAAGTTTGCATACCCTGGCAGAAACTGAAATTTTGGCATTGATATTGAAAATCTGACTGATCATGCCAAAACATGCTCTTTTATTGAAGGATGATGATCATATGAAGCCATTTATTATCACATAGTTGTTTTGGCTCTTTTTTAAATCATAATGATAACAGAAATCACCCAAATGGCCCTGATCAAAAGTTTCCCTCCCCTGGAATGTTTGGCCTTGGTACAGACACACAAGGTGACACACACGGGTTACAATGCCAATTAGAGGTTAATGTCCCACATCTGTGGATATTTAAATTGCAATTAGTATATAAATAGTCAATGAGTTTTTTTTAGCTCTTACGTGGAAGCACTGACTAGGCTAGATACTGAGCCATGGGGATCAGAAAAGAACTGTCAAAAGTCCTGCGTAACAAGGTAATGGAATTTTATAAAGATGGAAAAGGACATAAAAAGATGTCCTGGATAAAGGAGCACAGGGGGGGGGGGCACCTTTGCACAGTGGCATTGTCAGTCGGAGGGGGGGGGGGGGGGTTTGAGCGATAGATGTACTAACAGATTTAGGTGAACTGACAAATGAACTCCAGCAGTAGTTTTGTTCCTTTTGGAATAGAGGTTTTACATGAATAAATAAAACCTGATCATTATAAACATCCCTTTTCATTGGTAAATGGTTTGTCTCAACTATCTAACTGGTACATCTGCAGGACAGCTTGTTCTTTTGAAAAACAACAGGCTTAATAAGGACATAGATGGTTTTACTCTCAGCTAGTTCAGTAGGGACCGGCCTAGATTTAAACCATGTACAGGTGGGCTGATTGTACCCAAGTCAATCCATTGATCAACTTGGGTACAACTAGCATGTTGGATTTCTAGAATGTGATTATTGCCAGTGGCTATTGGCTAGCAATTATCACTGTGTTCTCGCAGCAGGGACTGCTCCCCCCCATCCCCCTTCCTGAAAAACATCAACACTGTATTGATGGGGAAATCAAGCAATTTTCTTGCCTTACTGGCCAGATCACCAGGTGAAATTTAAAGGAAGGAAAGTCTAAAAAAGAAAACTAATGCAGCCATCACATCTAAGAATTGGTAAGTTGCAATATAATAAATGTTTGCGTTTGGGTTTAATACTGCTTTAGGTGCTTGGGTGTAACTTTTCACACTTTTTTAAATTTTTATTTTTCACTAAAACCTTATTGATATCACATAATTCCTATGTGATGCCAAATTTGTTGTGCCCGGTTCTCTTTAATGAGACATCAGGGATGTATTAGGCCCTTGATGTCTCACCTCTCCTTCACTTAAGCTAATGGATTGCAAATCGTGGTCCATTAGCCGCTTCCCCTACCGCTGGGACAGATGAACCTGGAAGTGATGCAAGGCACTTCTTACTAGAGTGGAGATCAGAAAAGAGACGCTCTCTGGTCTGCCTCCCCTCTACCCAGAGTCACCCACCATGGGGTTCCTGGGCCCACAGGTGGGAGAGCGGAGCCATGGAAACAAGACAGTGGGGCGAATGTATCAGGGGTGTGTGGAAGTGATACGATGGTTATATAGCCACCACATCGCTTCCATCTGACAGCCAACAATTAGCTTTGCACGCACTACTACAGCCACCAGGAGTGTGTGTAACCCCCTACTGCTGCCGATGTGTGATCTCAATGTCATTACTTGACTCAAACCATTATTTACAAAAAATACCTTCACATACACTTTAAATGTGTCTAATTGAGGGACATACTGTAATAAGCTTTAAAGTATAACTAAAGGCAACACTTTTTTTTTAAATTTTGGATAGAGTGGAGCGGGATTAGAACCCCTGTTCTTTTGTTATCTGTGTCCCTGTTAGAAATTCACCCTGTCAATGTGTCCTTTTTGCCATTATCAATGAGAGTAAAAGAGAAAGAAAATGCCAAATTTTGGGTTGTCACAGAACAGGAATAGAGGGGAAATGGAATCACTAGTTCTGGTGACAACTAGGCATTCCCTCACTTCCTGTTATGGCTATGGGACAGGAAGTGAAGAGAAATCTCCCAAATGGGGACACAGTTGGCAAAAAATAAACCTGATAGGGTTTATAACCCTCCTATACTTTATCCAAAATGAAACAAAAGAGTTCTACTTTATGGGCCTTTATAAGGGGTTGGTATGCTAGAAGAGGGTGACTCTTCATGGAGGTGTTTGGTGAAGGAGACAGATTTTTTTCTAATGTAAAAGGAATTGCAGATTTTTTTACTCATTTTTAGGTCTTTAAACATAAAGTATAATTGTACCAATGATTCAATGAGCAATGAGCCATCATTATAGGACATTGCTGTATGGGACACTCAGATCTGATGCGCAGTATTTGCTGCTGTCCCCGTTTTGCTGAGTAGGTAGGACTATCTTGCAGACGCACGTTGTATATAAGAGATAAAGCCTGGATGGTGTGTTATCTTATGACATTGTATAGTCCCACCCAGCTGGTCCTGGCTCAGATCACACACAGTATGCAGAGCATCATAGAACGCTTATCATTGCTTTGGAAGGTAGTGGTGACTCTATAACAGACCAATAGCAAGGGGCATGAATCATAATTATGATATCTATTATAATATAGAGTTGTCAATTTACGCAGTGCTTTACATACTGCACATTCCCTTTAGTCCCTGTCCCCAGAACTTACACTCTAAGGTTCTTATCTCACATACATACATACACATACTAGGGCCAATTTAGACAGGAGCCAATTAACCTACCATTATGTTTTTGGAGTGTGGGAGGAAACCGGAGTACTCAGAGGAAACCCATACAAGCACAAAGAGAACATGCAAACTCCATGGCGATACTATCCTGACCAGGATGTGAAACGGGAAGAAGTGCCAACCACTAAGCCAAAGGTGTTAAAGTTATGTTATGTTACCCTTCCTGGAGAAAATGCCGCCCCGGGTTTCCCGCAGTGCTAGCTGCATATCAGAAGGCCTAGCTACATGATTGTGTCATCTGTACTGAAAGGAAAGATTAGCGTTCAAGCTCCATTCACACCATGCAGGTGTGACGAAGCACATGCGTATTTCTGCATGTAGGGCAGCCAATTTATTTTAATGAGCTGCCCTATGTGCGGGAAATGTGCAGAAGTTGTCCTTGACTCATTTGCAAATCGCACTGCTTAGCAGATGCGTGTGGTTGCCATTAAGAATTATTGGTACCACCATGCACTTGCTAAAGGCAGTAGCGGCACAAGGTTAACCAGTGCCCAGGGAAAAGATGCCAAACTGTGCCTCCTACCTCAGATGCAAGACAAAAAAAAAAACAGAACTGGTGTCAGTGGACACATGAATAACCCCCCAACATTAGTGTCAGTGAGCACAATAATAACCCCCAGCACTGGTGTCAGTTGGGTCAGTGGATGCAATATTAAGCCCCAGCATATTAAGCCCCAGCATTGGTGTCAGTGGACACAATAATAACCCCCAGCACAATGGTGTCAGTGGATACAATAATAACCCCCAGCATTGGTGTCAGTGGACACAATAATAACCCCCAGCATTGGTGTCAGTGGACACAATAATAACCCCCAGCATTGGTGTCAGTGAATTCAATAATAACCCCCATTGGTGTCCGTGAACTCAATAATAACCCCCAGCATTGGAGTCTGTGGACACAATAATAACCCCCAGAAATGGTGTCAATTGGGTCAGTGTATGCAGTAATAACACCCAGCACAGTTGTCAGTGCATGCAATAATAACCCCAGCATTGGTGTCAGGTGGAGGTGGGGGGAATAAATTCCAGTCCCGCAGCTGAAGAGAAAGCTTCTGCACTGTGCTCTGTTCTGAATAACAGAAGTGATGGCAGCAACACTCCTGTCATTCATGTAGCTGGAGAGCAAATCACTCATCGTCTCTTAGAGCCCCTTTGCCACAAAGCACCTGAGTCCAGGATACATTCCCCTCCTGCCCACTGCTTGTCCTGGCCCTGGTTAAAGGGCAGCATGTTTCTGCACGTGTCAGGAAAGCAGGCAATTTAGCGCGCGTTCCTGACACGCACAAGTGTGAATGAAGCCTTAGACTGGATGCTCACTTTCATTGAAGATCACATGATTAGGTGCTTTGGTCTTTAGACATTTCACCAACACTGGAAGTAGATCTATAGCTACTATGCCCTTCTTTTTCAATTTAGATAGAGAAGACGAGCATTAAAGTCCAACTCCGGGATGAAGGAAACTAAGCCTTTGCATTGAGTCCCCACCTGTGCTGCTCAGGTTAAATGCTTGTTGGGTTCAGGGGGTAGAGGAAAAGGCTGTAGTACTTACCTTACACCCCTCCATGGCCGGGCTCCAGTGCTGTCCTTTTTTCTCCTCCACTCTGGGCTGTAGGCGGTCCCTCTGCATCAGGGTTATTAACAGGGGCGGACTGACAACTCATAGGGCCCCCCGGGCATTAGGGGATCGTGGGGCCCCTGTGT